AAATGTAGAAGGATTGCGTTGGATATTTAAAAGTTGATCGATTTCGTTACCACATAAAGCGTATATGGACCACTATAAGAGATCACGTTGGGTTTGTAAACAAACTGAAGGAAAAATTAACAACAACAACAACGACTCGGCATCTTCCGGAAATCACCGAGCCCGCCGTTTGCTCGTTTCCGGTGATTAGAAAACTGCCCCCAGACGCGGGAAATTTGAAAAAGCGCGTTCCTAGCAACGCAAATTGCGCAGTAAGGAGTGTATTTCAGACTTTTTTAAACAGACCATCGTAATTTTCGTGTCATTTAACCCCTAAAAAGTCTATTCGCGCGGCTGTATCTCTTGCATGCAACAGGCCCATTTATCATTCCTTTACGCTGTATTTAACACAGTGTCAATTCAGAGTCAATTTTGCCAGAGGAAAGATAAACATTACTATATACTGGTACAGGTAACCATTCGTCTGGTAGAATCGACTTTGAATTTCACACAGCATGAAGGAATGGTAAATTCTACCGATCTATTTTTTCAATGTTGAGCCAGGGTTTTATTTTTGATATTCAAATATGGACGTACTTCTATCAAACGGAACTATGTGCATTATGACGTGAGCCCTGATTTGCATATATTCCTATGGGTCTCAGCGCTCATGTCTTAATGCACATAGTTCCGTTTAATAGAAATACGTCCATATGTGGTACTAAATACTATTCCTTACACTTTCTGTACACAGACCTTTCCTATCGAGCAGTCGGAGCTTCAGCAACGTTTCAGCGGCAGACAGCAACGCGGAACAAGTCAAAAGCAACGATGCAACGCACCGTGTCAGTTCCATCGGCGAGGAGCTCTCCAAGAAACCGCCACTACCTCTCCCGAAATTCTCATCCAGCAAGGTCGCGCAAGAGGCGAACGGAGATGACCCTCCACCGGTCGTCGAACCCGTCACGGGGATGAAGAAATTCTCGTGTCGACCGCGGGCGCCACCCCCTCCGGCAGCGGCCCCGCCCCCCGTCTCAAGGCACAACTCCCTCAACATGTCTGTGTTCACCATAACCTACGAGAAGGGTCGGGGGAAGAAATCCCTCGGTTTCAGCATCGTTGGCGGATGTGACTCTCCGAAAGGGAATCTGGGGATTTTCGTCAAGACCATTTTTGCCACCGGTCAAGCGGCCGAGGAGGGCTCCTTGCAGGAAGGTGGGTATTCCATGAATATTAAATAGGCGTAAAAGTAGAGTACCTATATTGAGAGAGTATGGCCACTGGTGTTACCACCTCTGATTAGCTCAGCCATCTTAGGCTGAATGGAGCCCTTAGGACCCAAAAATGGCGGACGCCATAAATTACTTTGCTTATCGTAACGAGAAATTTACTCAAATGCACTATTGCGACTTCTTTACATATTTTTAAGGCTAATCGTGTGCAATTTTTGAGAAAAATTATCTTAGATGTAGTAAGGTTTGCAGCAAGTGCGGTTGGTTTCGAAAATCGCCAATGGTTTGTCAATCCTCTCCCTCTCCGTTAGTAAAAGTACAATTGTATGTTCATTGTCCTAAAAAAATCGATACAAATTACTTAGATTATTCAGAGTTGTGATGTGTAGTTTAAGTCTATGGCACATTGGTACAGCAGTGTCTGAAAATACTCAGCTCTGAGGGCCTTTAAGAGGCTCGACAGCTTGAGTGATGGTGACGTGAAAGTTCACGACGTAGGTCTTCGCGTATAAAACTCCTTCAATCTCAATCGACGCAACATTTCATTCATTTGTGCACCGGAATGGTTATGAACTAGAGTTGCACAAAGTCTGATTTATATCGACATCTCCTCGCTAATCGGTTGATAAAAAATGTCTGACTAATACACTTAATTGAAGCTGACAATGTGAGGATCGAAATAAATCCGATTTCTTGTTTTCAGCCTCTTTATTTTTAAGGACAGCATCTGGTAAGTTCAGTACTATCCGCTAGAGCATGCGCGCCCAGTGCGATTTTGCAAGTTGGTATCACTGTGTTTCCTCCATCCAAATCTATTGAAAAAATCGCTTTTAAGTGATGCAAGCTGCCTCAACAAGAATCGATTGTTTTTCATACATTTAAACAGAGGAAAAAAAGTGTTGCCAACGTTTAATGATCGCCACTGGTAAGCAGCGACCATGAGTAGATGTGTGTGTAGTGAATTTCACCCATAGGGAATTTGAGTTTTTTTATGATCCCGCGATTAGATTTATATATTTAACAGAGAATAAACAGAAAATATTTCTCCTAATATGATTTATCTTTTTAGTGCAGAAGATATAAAACAGAGGAACTCTTTTTCAGAATGACTCTCGTGCTTCCTTTTCCTTGCGGTAGAAAATAACTTGAAGGAAAAAATAAATTTACGTTTTTTTGTCAAATAGTTGACTCATAAGGCATTTTCTTTTCATGTATGATCAAGGTATTTTTCATTTTCTTGATGGTGATGAAAAATTTTTCACGAATGTATTTTTGAGAAAAAACATGTCTGCAATTTGCATAGGCTACAATTCAGCAATTTCACGCTCATGGGAGATTAGCATTCAAAACTCCGTTTCTCAAAGTTACGTTTACTTTAACTGTAAAATTGAAATATTCGCGAGTTTGGTTCCGTTTGACATTCATGTGCACGGCTTTTGGTCCCAAAATGTCTCAGGAACACTCCTCCATATTTTCATATCAATAATTTTTTTTGTTTAGATTGCAAACTCTCTTTTCCTTGGATGCTTACAAATAAAATGTTTCTCTGTTACAGGGGACAAGATATTAGCTGTAAACGGTGAATCGCTGGATGGATTAACTCATAGCGAAGCAATTGCAATTTTCAAGGATATCAAAAGTGGGCCTGTGATTCTTCACGTTACAAGAAAAGAAACGGGCCGGAATTGATAGTAATGAGCTTTTTTAGACCAAAAAAAAAAATTATACCTCATTTTACACTATGTATGTTTCACTTAAAATTTGTCAAAGTCAAAAATTAATGAAGTCAATTTTCTACATAAAAAATACACAACTAAACTGACAATGTTTTCAATAAAAAAAATAAAACTTTAACGCTGCATCGAGTCTTGAACCTTTTATCTTCAACATGGTCTTTACCACAGCAAAATTTCGCAGGGGCGAAGTTGTCCTAGTACATAAGGTACCTATCCGGATTTTTCTATTCATTGAAATATAAAACCGATAAACTGAACAGGAACTTTTTACAGTGAAATAAATATTATCAAAAACTATAACTAATACTTGCCCAGAGATTAGTTGCTATAAATTGTTGTCTTTTGTCATGGGAACGGAGTTCCCCATGATATTAGAATCGTTCCGTTGCTTTC